TTTTTTTGCATTCATTTGACATTTCCTTAGTTTGGTTTTGTTGTTGTTGTTTATTAAAATTCATTGCATCATGGCTAAAGCTACATGTAAATACTAAATATGAAACAAAATATTGATTAAATATATACATCAATATCACATAGAATTAGACAATTAGAGTAAACCAAGAACTTGTTAGGAATTATTTCACCTTTTCTTCGAGTGACAATTTTGAAATAATGAACCTTCCTTGTTTGTCTGGGATGAGTTTTTCAACTTTGAAATTCACAGAGGGATTAATTAGTGTAATAACACCTTTACTATGGTTTGCACCGTGGCTAATGAAAGCTTTGCCACCCCCATTCGTTTTCCAGATTGCTGCAAGATTTTAACTTTGGAGTAAGCAGTGTGATTCTTGGAAAAATATGACATGATGATCTTATCTGTGTGACCATCTAAAAACGGTTCGGCGTTTGATCGATTTATGAAAGTCGGTACGTAACATTTAGTGACAGGCATTTTAGGTCAAAAGCATTGTATAAACACAGGTTTCTTCCGACGGAATTCTGTCAACTCACGACAAATTGGGACAGAAAAACAGTTTGACCTTGTCGCTGATGGGCTGATGGAAGAATGCGAGCGACTGAAAAAATAAGACGGTCGCTTCAAGCGAAGTGGGTTAGTGTTACATGTAAAGTAAAGGAAGTTTAGCATAATAAACCTAAAGACTACAACCGCATGGTGCTTACACGAGAACATAAACAAAAAGGAGATTTAGGTACTTAGCTTGATGAGATACAATGAAGAGCTATTGACCATTGTCGTTGTTGGATGTCATAAATATTAAAGTCTGCAAATTAGGTGGGAGCTACTTGAAACACAACTGGAATATTCGAGATGTTAAATAGATTGTTATCGACTGAAAGAGACTTCTGTTGAGTATCTTAGCTTTGCGTCGTGAGCAGCATGTTTACCAGCGAACAGGGATTGCATAATGGTTTTCCTTTTTTTCCGGAATTGGTCGAGTTAAGTCTTGGGTGATTTACGCTTCACCGCAACTGACTAAGGACTTGAGCCGGTTTTTGACCGAAAATACAGCGTAACTGTCTTTTCTCACAACAAATCTTGCGATGATCGAGGTCATTTTCTAGAACATCATAAATGATATCCTGGCAGTTTTCACCATGAATTTCGGGGATATTCATATAAGGCAAATTTTATCTTCTCGTATAGTTCTCAAGGGCGACAAGATTCTCCTGGTCTTAATTCTTTCAGGGCCGTTGTAAGCTTTTCGTTCTCGGCTTGGAGCTTTTTCAGATTGACCCTTAGAATTTCCGCAGCTTGCTCGTCCATCATTTTTGGAGAGAGCGAATCGTTGAGGGCTAACCTTTGTACTCTTACTGTAAGTCTCCGATGCTTGCCCACTCGTACTTCACAGATTCAGTTGTCTAATTCATTCCATGTTGATTTGACGTTACTTATTTCATGTTTGAATTCGCACGTAAGTTCAGCAATCTGTGTGTGTGTAGATTGGAGAAATTGTCTTCCATACGTGATTCTATGGCGATTAATTTATCAAGGAGTATTTCCATGGAGATAAGCGAGTCGGTTTCTTGGTTTCCTTCCATTTTCTCGCTCTTCTGCTTGTTTTGTTTCGGCGTTGGCTTGTCGGAGGAGCTTGAACTCGTTCCAAGTGCATTACAATGAGTACAAGTAGCAAACGTCAAATATTTTATGGATGCTAAAAGGTCATCACTAATTGCATTTGAGCTAGACTAAATGGCCAGTCGTGGCTCTTCTCAACTACGGAATCAGGGAGCGGGAGACCACGTCCGTCCGCCGTGATTCCTCATCTGCATCTCCTGCTGACTGATAGTTACATTTTCTGATCTTGGCGAGAGCGTATTTGATCTTTGTGTTGTATCCGCAGTGGATGCTTGTTGAGTGTCCTCGATTTTCTTCCCGGAATTGCAACAGATGATTCTCCGAAATTCTTTTCTGAACAAGGGATTCATTCCTGCGTAGATGAAAGGATTAATGGTATTGGACAAATTCACGAAGAAAGTGCATAGCAGTTGAACATTTCGTGGCATCGTTCCAATGACGCTGAAGCGCGTTAGGATGGTGATGATCCACGAGGGTATCCAGCACAACATGAAGGCAAAAACCACAGCAAACAAAGATCTGCTTAAACGAATCTCGTGCCTGGAGAATGACGTTTCTCCGTCTTGGCGTTGAAGAGCACGCACCGATGCCGCGTTGTGTTCCTGAATCTTTTTCAACACTTTCCTGTAGCTGAATATCGTTATAGCAAGTGGAAGGACAACGAAGAGTCCAATCACGACAAAGTAATGGATAATCCTCGCAGAGTTGTTTAAATGCTCGTTTAAACATGCTGCATATCCAGGGTTGAAGTAAAAACCCTGTAAGCCTGCGAGACGCGTAATCCAAATGTAACCGGTTACAAAAGCCCACGCAGAAGCAAGCGCTATGAGTGATTTCCATTTCGAGAAGAACCTTTTATACTGTTGCTCTGACTTGCACATTCTCACATACCTGTTTGCAGCTGTAAAACCCATGGTTACAGGCGAAATGTACACAACAAACAGGCTGAAGAAAGCGTGCATTTGGCAAAGGGTTTGGCCAAATGGCCATCTGCCTGAGATGAGTACTCCGGCGGCCAGGGGCATCACAAAGATGGCGGACAGCAAATCACTGATTGCCAATGCGACAATGTAAACATTTGTCGTCGTACGGAGCCTGGTGTTTCTGTAGACAGAGATACAGACTAGCGTGTTGCCCAGTAGAGAAACAATATTTAGCAAAATTATGAAGCTCGCTTCTAAGACTGTCACAAACAGGCTCCTTGAACTAAGCTCGCCGTCCATCAGCTCTGAAATGTCAAGAGGATAAAAATGATCTTCTCACTTCTTGTTAGTTGCTTTAATGATATCAGAAACTTGAAAGAAGCAACTTAAGGTTGGGAATACATTTCCATTACAATATAGGGAAGATTGGCTGGAAATGAATAAAGGCGTTAAAAACAGTAATTGAAAAAAATGTCGCGATCCATGTCTTTGGAGATTCTAACATCAATGTTTACATAATGGTCGCTATAATTTTGTATTTAATTGCAGGTACGTTTTGTTGCCTTGAGCTTTGGACATAAAACTAATTTCTTCAAGGAGATGGGTCGAAACTTGAAATTTGAAGTTAAACTTAAAATTGAAGTTAAACTGCAGAACACACATGCAAAAACAATAATTAAGAATGTGCCTTCGTGGGCTTCTCACTCGGTTTATTGCAAAAAAAAAAAATATCTACGCCCTAGAAATGATTGCAGAGTATATTTTGTAGTCTTATTCCGTTTCATTTGCGATTTCCCTCAAATTAATTGTCATTGTCACAAATTTGTAATACTCGTGGATGGGTATGAGTTTATCAGTTAACTCGCAAAGAGTTACTGTCAGAAAATAAAGTCGATATCTTATCTTATCTTTCCTTATTAACTTGGTTAAGTTCTTGTATCCTTAGGATTTTGTGATATGAATTGTGAAAACCACACTGAAGATAACCATGAGATCTTTTTCTTTTTAATTTTTGTTATTTTTTTAGAGCGGCTTGTTAATATTGGACCAAAGCCATCAATTGTTTTAGGCTTTCTCAGTCGTTCTCCTACAAATAACGATGCAATTCTTTTAGTTGAAAAATTGCGAGAAGATTAGTATGACAAAACCGAAATGGAAAGCATTTATCACGCATAATTTGTGTCAGCTTGATTATTTGAAAGGACCTTCATAATTTTCAATGGGATTTAATATGCACTATATTCCTTTATAGAGCTAAGATAAAACTGTATTGCGTTATGTAAACCAGAAAAAAAAAAAATGTAAAATAAAAAAATTTCCTTAAAGTGAGTTTTGCACAATACATTTACTATACGCTTTTCACTCTTCCTGTTTTATTTAATCTATGCTTAAGTAAATACATAGATAAATGTGGTTCCAGTGTTTGTAAAAGTGGATAACCTGAGTCATCAAGCATAAATCTCGATAGCCTCTTCCAGGCGTTCAGTTAGTTGGGGTTCAGAACGAAAAACGGCGAGCGCAAAAATGGTGGAGAAGCGCTGCGAGAGAAAGTGAAAAAAACACTTGTGGGCAGACTTAACAAAACGTCCTTCTGGATCTGGTATACCCTCTGATTGGTCAATTTTGACGAGTTTTGTAACCCTCGAGTCTATTTTTTCGCTCGACGTTTTTCGCGCCCCAACTAACTGAACGCCGATAGAAGAGGCTAAAATCTCCAACACAAAGTTTACCTTTCTCTCTTTTTTAAAAGTTTAGTTTGTGCTTGAAATCGTAAAGGAGAGCTTCGTGTGGTAATGTTTATCAAGCTCTATATCCTAGATCTATCATTCTGACTCTGGATTGATTCCTAATGGAACCATTCAAATCAAAGCTACTGAGTAGTGTTTCATGTGATACTGTTTGTGACAAAGCACAAGGTAGTTCTAAGTCTGACACTATAGGTAGCGGCCATTCAAATGAAAGGTTTTCAAGAGTAATTTACATGTAATGCAAGTCACAAACAGTCATTCCAATTAGTTCTGTTTTCTTTCCGATAACATTAACATGAACATGAATATGAAGAACAAAAACCAAACGAAAACTGAGAGACCAAAATAAAAGAAAACAAACAATAAAAAAAAATGCGACCATTCAAATACGGTATCTTACTTCAAAACTTCGAATTTGAAAATGGAGCCATGGGCCCCCCAAGATTTACAAGTTTAATGCCCTAAAGTTACAGTCACACATACCTAGATGTCCTATTGAAAATCCATGAAAAAATCGTAAAAGAGAAGAACTTCGCTAGCAAGATGTCGTTATTCCAAGGACACGGATACCCGAACGGATGACCAAGTACGAAAACCAAAGATTTACGTGCTTTTATCTGAGTGAGCATTTGATTTTGGTTTGAGCATCATCTAATAAGTTTTAAGCACCTAAAATGCTAATGTCTGAAAATGGACGTATTCACTGATCATAATTCAATGATTGACGTTTCAAGTGCGATATTAAAAGCCTCAGTGCGTGAATTTTGACAGCTCTACAGCTGTTAATTTCCCACAGCTGAAGAGCTCAAACCGTCTCCGCTGCTGATCTGAAATTGTAGTGTGATCATCTGGGTGAAGGTAGTTCTGAAAAGAACTTTTGTTGGTGACTGAGTTTCGACAACCTGATCGGGGGTCATTTTCAGAGTTAAGAAAATGAATTGACCCTAAGGTTATGTTCGCACTTGGTGGCCAAGCACAGTGCCGGAGTACGATTCTCGCTGGGTACTAATGTGAACGCACTTAATTTCCAAGCACTTACACCAGAATTCGGGCACAAAGCCGTGCAAAGGACTTAAACTAACACTCGGGTTTGGATAAGTTCGCGAAGAAAGTGCATAGCAGTTGAAAATTTCGTCGCATCGTTCCAATGACGTTGAAGCTTGTTAGGGTGGTGATGATCCACGAGGGTATCCAGCACAACATGAAGGCAAAAACCAAAGCAAACAAAGATCTGCTTATACGAATCTCGTGCCTGGACACCGTGGTATCTCCGTCTTGGCGTTGAGGAGCACCCACCGATACCGTATTGTGTTCCTGAATCTTCTTCAAGACTTTCCTGTAGCTGAATATCGTTATGGCAAATGGAAGGACAAAGAAGAGTCCAATTACGACAAAGTAATGGATAATCCTCGCGGAGTTGTTTAAATGCTCGTTTAAACACGCTGCATATCCAGGGTCGAAGTAATAATCCTGTACACCTGCAAGATGCGTGATCCAAATGTAGCCGGTTACAAAAGCCCATGCACAGGCAAGCGTTATGCGTGATTTCCATTTCGAGAAGAACCTTTTATACTGTTGCTCTGACTTGCACATTCTCACATATCTGTTTGCTGCTGTAAAACTCATGGTTACTGGCGAAATGTACACAACAAACAGGCTGAAAAAAGCGTGCACTTGGCAAAGGGCTTCGCCAAAAGGCCATCTGCCTGAGATAAGTACTCCGACGGCCAGGGGCATCTCAAAGATGGCGGACAGCAAATCACTGATTGCCAATGCGAAAATGTAAACGTTTGTCGTCGTACGGAGCCTTTCAACAAATTCATGACGAGGACAAGTGATTTGAATTGTAAATGAAACGGAATAAGACTTCAAAAGACTGTGTCATTATTTTTAAGGCGTAGGTGTTCTTTCTTTTTTAACCGAACGAGAAGCCCACGAACGCACATTTATAATTGCTGATTTTGCATGGATGATCGTTCTGCAGTTAAACTTCAAATTTTGTCTTACAGTTATACCCACCATACCTTGGCGTTCTATTGAAAATCCATGAAAAACCTTAAAAGAGAAGAACTCCGCTTCCAAGGTACTCTTATTCCAAGGACAGGAGACCCGAACTGATGGCCAAAAAAGAAAATCAAACATTTATATACATTTAGCCGAGTGAATATTCAACTTCGGTTTGAGCATTGTCTACTAAGTTTTAAGCACTTAAGATGATTATGACTGTAAACGGACGTATTCACCGATCACAACTCAAAGGAAAGACGTCATAACCGTGATCTTAAAAGCCTCAGTGTGTGAATTTCGACAGCTCTACAGCTGTTAATTTCCCACAGCAGAAGAGTGTAAATGCCAAATAATCCAAGCGCCTCCGCTACAGATCTGAAATAATCACAAGAGTCAGGAAGATGAGTTGAATCTGAGGATCACTTCCCAGCTCCGGTCGGTTTTTTCTCAAAGTGCCTTCAACCAGACGATTACACTATACGGAATAACTCTCTACTCTGTTTCAAGCTCCCACAACGAGAGCGATTTAAGTGGCAGTCCCGCTAAAAGCGGTCCACTCGACTTCGGGACTAAAAATACTTTCCCTTCATTTTTTGTCAGTGGAAAGGGTTTGACACATATATATAAAAAA